ATAATCTGAAAATATGTGTGTATAAAAATGCTGCGAAAAGAAAAAAAAGTTTCTACAAAAACATATTTTAAACAAAAATATATATATTATATATATATGTATATATCCTAATAAATGATAACAAATGAAAATAAATGCATATACGCGCACAAGGGAAGCACACATATAATAATACATTGAGATATATATATATATATATTATACATATACACATACAGGCACGTTTTTACACCCCACGCCCCACTCCACCCCCACCTCCCTCCCCTATAAACATGAACGCGCGTCGTCCAAAGCACATCCAACATGAACTCGCGTCGTCCAGCGAAAGTTCTGATCCAAGAATTTGTCCATTGCTGCCTCCAATTTCCAACTGCGATCCATGCGCCTTTCCAGTCACAGCATTCAAAAAGATTAAAAGCCCTTGCCGCTTGTTCCATCACTTGTTTTTCTCCCAGGATAGCAAAGGCATCCAGAAAAAGAACATCTTCAACTGCGATAGCCAAAGATCGACCTTCCAAATTGCAATTGTCATGCAGGCTCGCGCTTCTAATGGTCGATGCAGCCCATGTCATGACACCTCTCCTCGTTCTGGACTGCCGTTCATGAATCCTCCCTTTCATCTCAACACAGTCAGTGCTGTAGCAATGTATCCAAGTTATCCAAAGACATACTGCGATTCCAAGTGTCTGGCCTGCTGAGCTACAAGTTTCTTGCCATGTGCGCGTTCATGTGGTTCCATCCCTTTCAGCAAGCCAATGATTCTCCAAACTCCTTCCCAAACCAGCCACATTGATGCTCCAAAATTTCAGCCAATACCTGAACTGACGCTCTAGATACCTTCGCAACCTCCTCTGGGATCCTCAGTGGGTCACTTGTGACTCATGGCTGCCTCAACCTCTCTCTCAAACTTTTTTCCTTTCTGCTCATTACGCTTCCGTTGGTTTAACATGGTGTTCTTATATAACCTTCTTCTGCCTTTCCCTGCTGGCTTTGACTGCCAGCCGTCGCTGAATCTGAGCTTTCGTCGGCTGTCGGCTTGGGCCGACGCTTCGAAATAACGCTCAGAATTTCATCAATCTCCTTGTGGCTCGAACCAAGGGCCTTTGCAAACTTAACAAGCTTCACCAGGTCATCCTTTTTTGCTGCCTTCCTCCACCAGTCAAAGCTTGGCTGTCTCTTTGAAGACAGCCCAGTGCAGGCTTTCTTCCAAGATCTCAATCAAGAAAGTGTAAGTGACAAGGGCGCTTTCGGAAAATGGGCAAGTCTTTGCAAGCTCTTGCTTCCAAGGCAAAATGAAAGGTATGTAAAAAGGATCACGCCCTCTTTCACTGGCTGCTTTCTTGGCACGAAGCTAGTCTTTATCGGTCATCCTCTTGTTCAGAATGTTCCCATGCACAGTCGCCATTGGGCAACTTTTAAAAGATGAACTCATTTTGGCCAATCGGGCGTGCGTACTGTCTGGGCCAAGCAAACCACAATACAGGCAAGTGAATTTTGCCTGTCTGCTTTCATGCTAACAGGAATCTTCTGAAATTTCACAGATTAGTTTAAAAGGAGTGGGGCCCAAACCAGAAACCTTGCCATGTCTTCCAAAACTCTTCTGTTTCGCAACGGCTGCATGATGCTCAGGACGGTGAGCTTTCTGTAAATGCTGATTTGCCACCAGTTGGTCTTCGGAACCTCCATGGTACAAAGTGGACACTTTCAAAGCTTGATGCCATCTGCTATCTTGGTTCATGAATTCCTCCATCTGCCCTTTGGCAGAGCTTCTAGTTCCACACGCTTTGATCAATTACTCTTCGTTAGGCTTGACGGCAGAACAGGTAGTGATCAAAGCTGCCAATTTTTCTTCTGACTTTGGACCCACGCAAAGTCAACGCATTTTCCAACTCTTCCATCTGTGCACCAGGTTATTCTTGTTCTTTTCCACCACCTCCGAAAATGAGACTCATGGAGTCATCTTGCGTCAAAGAAACAGTCTCCTGTTCTGTTCCATACGTAACCACATCACTCACAACCCTCAAGTGACCTCCGCGTGTCTTGGCTTGAGGCTTCAATGCGTAATAGTGACCCCTGCGCAAAGCAGACGCCAACATGCTCAGCTTCTCAAATCCTTTTTCCACATGTCAAAACAGCAACTCTCTGCCATTCTCCATCCAATTTTTTGAAAATAGCCAACTTGAAGTTTTCCCTGCAGAGTGCTCCTCGTAGTGTATGTCCACATGCCGAACGGTTCGGGTGTTGGAGCACCTGCAGAAAGTCAACTAACCCTGGGCTGGTTCACCAGCTTCCGTCTCAACTGTTGGTTTTCCATGTGGCCCCCATGTCACTTGCCGTGTCTTCCAAATATGTAGTGAAACTGCATACAGTAGCAGGCACTCAGAGCGATCTGGCCACGTTTCAGCTTGTGTTCGAAGGTGTGTGACTGAATGACCGCGTCTCCACCGAGGTCAACAAAACTGTGTGGTCTGGACCTGGATAGAAGATCTAGCCTAGCTGTCTTTTTGCCTGGTGAAGGAGCTCCTTTGCTCTTCTCTATCCTTTCACCCTGTTTTTCCATATCTTCATCTTCTTGACCTCCCTGAGAATCAAGTTATGTCGGGGCGATATTTGGAGCAGATCCCAATGGCTTTTCCTCCTCAACTTGATCATATTCTAAGCCCCGCCATTTCTTCCGCATTTTCTGCCAATGCTCGATATTGAAGAACGTTCTTTCTTCTCCAACTTGAATGCAATATAATGTAATAAGCATAGCAGCTTTCTTTGGGATTATCCTTCTGGTATCCTCTGATGTTCCAAGGTTGATTCTTCCTTTTTGGCTCCATGATGTCTGCCCGCAATGGTTCAATTTTGTTCCTATAAACAATTTCACACTGTGGCCCCCAACTATGGGGCGTCCCAAAAAAAGCCCAGGCTATCAAGTGCTGCTCCTCCAACTCCTCCTGGTCTGTGACAAAGTGGGACATTTGCATCTTTCCTTTGCATTGCGCTCAAGGCACGCGCGTGGATGTTCACTTTCTTCTGGTGCCATTCATGTCACTTCTGGACAGTTTGCCACCACATTTGAAAAACTGCATGCAAAGACTCATTCGTTGCCTGCCAATTTCACAGCTTTCTTCTTCCATAGGCACCCGGATGTATCCAGTGATGCACCCATGCTGCTGCGACCATCTGCTCGTCTTGACTTCTGCAAGCTGACTGCCAAAAAAAAAAGCTGATTTCAGGCTGGGACATCAAAACGTCTTGGATTTCGCGAGTCCGTCCTCAAAGTTCAAGTCTTTGCTTGGTGTTCCTGTTTCTCCTCTTGCTGCTTCATCTTGTTTGTTCTTCGCCTTTGATATCTTCCTTTCCATTCAGGTTAACAACAACTGCCAACTGCGCTTTCTAAGGCCAAATCGTCAATCCACGGAAGACCTAAGAGTCACGACTTTTACGCCTGGAATGTCTTCTTTGTCCAATCCTTTGGTCGCCAGCAACAAGCCTTTGGTGATCCTTTTGCAAGTGTTTGGAACCCCGACAACTGCTCAGCAACAGCTCATTGATCAAACAAATGGCCATAGCTCCTCTGGAAGCTCTACCTTCGTCAAGTGCTGTTCACACACTTTGCCACTCTTTCCAAGTCAAGGGCAAAGCTTCCCCAAGTCAAATCGGGGAAGGTGTTGGACTTCACGTCCTTTGTTTGCATGTTTGCCCGTAAATTTTGCCTTGGCTAGCTTTGCCTCCCTTACTTTTGTCTCTGGCTCCTTTCTTGTCAAATTTAGCTTGCATAAAATCAGGCTAAAAGCTTTGCTTCCATCCTTTGCCACTGTCTTTTGTATCAACATTGCCACGCGCGAGCTTCTCAACAAAACCATGCAAAACAGGCGCAACTTCGCTCTGTGACAGCCTGCAATTTGCCAAGAAGAAGTAAACCCCTGAAGATCAGATAATTTTTGTCTGATCCGTCATTAGGCTCATCAGCTTCAACGTCACCTCCAAACAAATTACTTTAGCAATTAATGCTACCTGCTTTTGATACGCAAGAATGATGCGAGCCCAGGCCCTGAACAAAGGCCCCAAACAACCCACTAATTCAATTAAACAAGCACAGGTTTTTGATAATGGCATAAAATGGCAGAAATACATTCATGCACGCATGTTGTATGCACTTGTGCCTAACATGAAATGCAATGTGATGTAATTCAATGCCAGTAGTACCACGCAAGGCGGTGGCGGCAGTTTCACAGATAGGAAGCCTATAGGAGACGTTGGTTGTTGTGAAACATTGATGGCAGAGCGAACGAACACACTGATGGATCAAAAGGTGGTTGGAGTGTCGGGCTATCTGTCTGTCTATCTAAATCTATCTTCTATCGATCTGTCTGCCTATCTGTCTATCTTTCTGTCTATCTATCTGAATCTGTAGTCTATCTATCTTTCTACCTGTCTATCTATCCATCTATCTACCTATCTGTCGGTCTGCCTGTCTATCCATCTATCTGCTTATCTATCTATCTGTCTGTCTGTCTGTCTGTCGGTCTGTCTGTCTGTCTGTCTCTCTGTCTCTCTGTATCTCTCTCCATCTGTCTGTCCATCTGTCCATCTGTCTATCTGTCTATCTGTCTATCTGTCTATCTATCCATCTATCTATCTATCTATCCACCTATCGGTCTATCTATCTCTCTAACTACCCGTCTAACGCAAGGCTTCATGTGGCAACATCCTTCGCGGCACAGCGGCGTGCACTTTTTCGACATCTCCACTTGCAAAAGTGGTCCCAACGGCGCTTTTCCACAACAGCGTGCACCTCCAAATGTGCTTCGCGCCACAACAGCGTACACTTTTTTCACCACCTCAGCTCCCAAAAGTGCTCCGGGCCTGGTGTGCTGTTAGCATTTTGACTGCAAAATATGCTTCGCGCCACAACGTCGTCAAATGAACTTCCACAAGCGCTCCGAACGCGCAATGCTTCACATTTGGACTTCCAAATGTGCCGCGGCGCCATGCATTTTTTGAACATCTCAACGTCCAAAAGCGCTCCTAAGCTGAAATGCTTTTAGATCTTTTAGCATCTTTTAGCTCATTTTGACTTCGAAATCTGCTTCGTGCCACAACGGCGTGCAATTTTTGATCTCTCACCTGGCCAGATGGCTCCGCACCCGCCGCTTCAGCGAGCCTACTTTCCGACCCTCTGGAGCTACAAAACATTGGAAAAACACAATGACAATGTTTTGCAACTTTTCTACCTTTTCGCGCACCTGCATGCTCCTTCTTCTGGCCCTTTCTCTTCTCGGATCTTCTTTCTTCGTTTCTCTTCTCTGGTTCTTCCCACCTCTGCTTTTCCATCTTTTCATATTGTTGGAAGTTTGACTTCTAATTCTAAACTTCCTTCCATAATGTAATTAATATTGACATTGCAATGGCATGTAACGTAATTATAGTACTGTGATCGAACCTAGCTCATCTATGCCAATGCAGCAAAATATAACGCATGGCCACTAATCCCTTCCTCCTAATACTAAACGCCCCCCCCCTATTACTAAACACGGCAGGTAATTTTTAGTATTAGGGTGGTATTTATTGTTAGGGAACCCTATTAATAAAATTAAACCCTTAATAATAAAAACTATTTTTTCCGATCTCAAAATCACTTAAATTTCTTTATTATATAATTAACGCAATTAAAATATTGCCAAAAATTGGATTTCGAAGCTTCCCCCTAATATTAAATTAAAACCTTAATAATAAAAACTATTTTCTCCGATCTCAAAATCAACTAAATTTCTTTATATAACTATATAACGCAAGTAAAATATTGCCAAAAATTGGATTTCTAAGCTTCCCCCTAATATTAAATTAAAAACCTTAATATAAAAAACTAAAAAAATCGGACGGACCCTAATAATAAACAGCCCGGGTGAACAGGGGGGAAAACCCACAAATGGTAGGTTGACTTTTAAATTGTTTTCTAAAGGGGATCAATTAAAAATCAAATTGGCCAATCTGAAATTTTCTGAAATTGGAGATGGACGCCTGTTTTTAGTATTTGGAGGACGTTTAGTATTAGGAGGAAGGGATTAGGCTACGGTCTAAAACAAAATACCTACAGGGCCGGTTTGGGATGAGCCGCCTTATCTACACACATGTATGATGTGAGATATGTGTATGTTCAAATAATATAATATACATACATTATATATATATGTGTGTTGGTGTATGCGTGTGCGAAATATGTAGTATATATATATATATGTGTGTGTGTGTGCGTATGTATATATATATATACCTATATAACACATGGATACGTAAAAAAAACATGTATATATATAAATGTATTTGTAAATATACCTAAATTGTCTATCTATCTACCTACCTACCTACCTATCTATCTACACACTGAAAGACATATATATATAATACCATGTTGCGTCTTGGTTAATGCGGTGGGTTGGTATTGTGTCCCGTTTTTTGAAAAATCTACTAATGGGGCGGCTTCAACCATATTCAATCCGCAATGCCAGGAGATAAAGCATAAGAAGTCCCCAATGAGCCGGACAATGTTGGATGGATGCTATGGCCCCAGCACTTTCATCCCAATCCAGGCCATGCAATCGACACATTTTACCACTGCGTGGTTTCGCTCATGCTTCTGTAAGAGTCATCCTGCAGCCAGTCACCTTCTCAATCCGAAATTTCAGCTTTTGACCCACCTCCATTTTGCCCTTCATAGCCCCCCAATTCTCCTCAGGGAAGTATGCATCTACCATTGCCCCCACATCCACAAAGACAGCTCTTTGGCGCAAGGCGGCGACTGTTCCGTCTACCTCCTCTCCATCTTTGTACTCCCAAAGCGGCCGTTTCTGGAACTCTGGCTGTTCAGCTTCGGCTTCAGGCATCACTACCTGGCAATCGCAGCACCTCAACCCCCCAGAACTGAAACACCTTGAGCACTTTTAAGGCCAGCAAGTGTTACACAATCAGTGGTAACATGATGTAACATGATGTAACATGAGGTAGCATGATGTAACATGATGTAACGTGCGTTTGACGTGCACATGATCCGCTATGCATGTATGTGTGTGTTTTGGTGTGAATGCATGCGCTTGCAAATGCATATTTGGATATATATATATACTTGAGATTATTTGAATGTGGGGCTGAACAGTCAGTCAGTGTAAGCCCGAACGCGCGCGCATGGTGTGTGTGTGCGTCTGTGTGTGTCTGTGTCTGTGTGTCTGTGTCTGTGTGTCTGTGTGTCTGTGTGTCTGTGTGTGTCTGTGTCTGTGTGTCTGTGCGTCTGTGTGTCTGTGTGTGTGCGTTTCCACACCGCAGCTTGCACCCCTGCCTCCACTTCTTTTTGCTTTATTTTCAAAATTCGAACTGGAATGACGTCCTTCAGATTCAAAATGTCAGACGCGTTGACAACAAATTCTTCCTTGGGTTTCATTTTCGACACATGTAGGTAGCCCGGCTTCTCCACACCCAAGGCTAGTGATGTTGCATTCCTGTAGAATTTCAGCA